CTGGTGGCTACCATCTTGGATAGAGCTAGTTTAGAATTTACCTACTCATATTCTCAAATCTGCTAGGTATCTTGACTACTGTGTACTGTTCAAATTTCATATCTATACTAAGATATTCTTTCATGTATTCTTTGAATAGAAATACCTTGTATTCTATTGCAGAAGTTTTACTAAATTTAATAGTACTTGAAAAATTATAGATGCAATTGGGTGAAAGAAAAACCAAACTGATAGTTCATAATTAAGAAGAACCAAGATTAAAGAAGAACCAAGATTAAAGTTAAGATGTTATGTGACTAGCAATATTTTCTTTCCTCTTTCCAACCAAACATTTTTTATAAAACTATTTTTTTATCATAAAATAATTCAAGCCCTGGCCAGTGTGGCTCAGTTGGTTGGAGTGTCATTCCGAATACCAAGAGATTGCTGGTTCAATTCCAGGTCAGGACACATACCTAGTTTTTGGGTTAGATTCCCAGTCAGGGTGTGTTAACGGAAGCAACTGATAGATGTTTATTCCTCATGTCAATCTTTTTCTTTCTCTCTCTTCCTCCCTCCCTCCCCCTCCCCTATCCTTCTCTCAAAAAATCAATAAGCATATCGTTGGGCAAGGAATTTAAAAAAAAATTAATGTATAAAACTTTAAAAAACACAATGTTTTAGGTAACCAGTTATCTAAAGTAAATGTGAAAAATCTAAAAAGCTGTCTTTTGATACCTGTTAATACATATGTTGATATAGATTTTATTATATTTGTTCAAATTATTCTCAGGAAATTTTTAGTTAATTATTATTACTAGTAGGTAGTACTAAATTAGTATTCTAATTTAAAAATAATTGTTCTACCTTCTACTCAGTGTATCTTGATGCTTTGTGATTTATGTAATCAAAAAATAGTTTTAAGTATCTTAATGTTTTTGTTGCAATAGTAAATGGTATTGTTTTTTTAGTTTCTATTTCTGAGAATTCATTATAGGTGTATAAATATGTCATCGATTTCTGGGTGTTAATTTTGTATCCTGCTACAATGCTAAATTCATTTATTAAACCTAGTAGTTTTTTGGTGGAGTAGTTAGGGTTTTCTATGTACAATGTCATGTCATCTGTGAATAATGACAGTTTTACTTCCTCCTTTCTCATTTGAATGACTTACATTTTTTCTTCTTGTCTGATCTCTGTGGCTAGATCTTCCAGTACTATGTTGAATAAGAGTGGTGAAAGCAGGCATTTCTGTCTTGTTCCTGATCTTTAGGGAAATACTTTTGATTTTTGCCCACTGAGTATGATGTGTACTATAGGTTTGTCATATATGGCCTTTATTACATTGAAGTATGATCCCTCTATTCCTACTTTGCTGAGAGTTTTTATCAAAAAAGAGTGTTGGATTTTGTTGAATGCTTTTTCTTTGTCTATTGATATGATCATGTGATTTTTATCTTTCAATCTGTTTATGTGATGTATCACATTGAATGAATGGAGAAGAAATAGATTTTAAAGCATTATAGGAAAACTAGAGGCTCAGTGCACGGATTCATGCACCAGTGGGATCCCTCAGTCTGGCCTGCGTCCTCTTGCAATCTGGGACCCCTCAGGGGATGTCAGATAGCTGTTTTTGGCCCGATCCCTGCAGGCTTGAGTCAGACAGGAGGGAGCCTGATCCCCGCTGACCTGATCCCCACAGGCCCGATCCTGTGCATTGAGTGTCTGTCCCTTGGTGGTCAGTGTGTGTCATAGCGACTGGTCGATCAGTCGTTTGGTCGCTTGGACTTTCATATATATATAAATAGGATGCTCACTATAGATAAATCTAGATAAAAGCTGAATACTAATCACATTAAGGCTTAATGTGACAGTGCTTTATTTGCATACAAATCATAAATGTACGAAAAGAAGCAGGGCAGGTTCTTTCCCTGGGTTATACCTAGCTAATTCAAAGTCTTGCATGCAGTATATGCTCATTAAATTTAGTTGTATTGATGAAAAAATAAATTAAAAACCAACCTAAACATGTTATTACAATGAAGTATTTAAAAATAGGTTATGTTAGGTTCTTAGTAATTAAAATAAGCTGACTTTGATTAATATTAAGTGTTAGCCAGTTTTGAAATACCAACTTTCAAAGGCTTATAAATAGTAAAGAGTCACAACTCTGGCACTAATTTGGTGTACTGGGAGCCTAATAGGGTTACATGTCCTTTACTTAACATTGCGTCTTACCACTTTCTCCTTGTAAGGAGGCTGGTATGAAGGTGACTAGACCTGGCTTCTCTTAACCTCTTTCAATGGTGATTACCTGAGAACTGGCTAGATTACAGGGATCCTTGCCCTACAAAAAAAATCTTTAAAGAATCCATCTTTGTTAAAAAACAGCTCTAGCTCTTTCAATACAAGGACTAGTATTGTTAGTGAATGACCATCTAGAGCAGTGGTCACCAACCAGTGGTCTGTGGACCACTGGTGGTCCATGAGGTCTGAAGGTTGGTGACCACTGATCTGGAGCAGAAAGAACTGAATGCTTTCTGGCATCTATCGATTCCCACTGCCTCTTACCAGTTTCTCCTAGGAAGGGGAAAAGTAGAAGACCCTAAGGCTGGAATGGAGGTGACTCCACTTGGCTTCTCGTGTCCCATTCAATTGTGAGCCTTTAGTAAGTCAGCGGTTTCAGTTTTCCCTTTGCTCATTAGTATCTCTATTTCATATTTCTCTGAGGAATCTTACCTAATAATAGACAAACATGTAAATTGACCATCCATCCACTACGCTCAGCAGCCAATCAGGAGAGTATGCAAATTAATCCAACAAAGGTGGCAATTAAGCATACGTAGGCACGAAGCCGCAGAGCGAAGACTGAAGGCTCTGGCCAGAGCAGCGAAGGCCTGGGTCCCAGGTGCCGGAGGAAAACCAGTGCCGGCAGCCAGGGGAAGGGAAGGCCTATTGCATGAATCTCTTCATGCAGTGGGCCTCTAGTCTGGATATAATCTCAGAGAAATGCTTTTCTTCTGGTTTTCCTCCTACCTCACTGTCCTACCTTTTTATCCTAGCTTTTCCATATTTCCTTGGCTTCTAAGTGTTGTATTAACCCACGGCTTGCATTACTTTTCTATGGCAAATTACCACAAATTTAGTTATTTAAAACAACACATACTTATTACTTCCTACTTTGGATCAGAAATCTGGGCACAGCCTAACTGGGTCTCCTGTAATCACAGTGTCACCTGGTGCTTAGGTTGTCATCTGAGTGCTTGGGTAGAGAAGGATTTATTTCCAAGCTTAGGTTGTTGGCAGAATTTATTTTCTTGAAGGTATAGGAGTGAGGTCTTAGTTTTCTTGTTTCTTCGGGGCTGGAGATCTTACAAGATGTCAGCTAGAGACAGCCCTCAGTTTCTAGAAGCTGCCCTCAGTTCTTTGCCAAGTGGGTTCTCAACTTGGCTGCTGGCTTCACAAAAGCTAGCTAGTGAAAGAAAAACTTACATAATGTAATAATGTGATCACACAGTGTAATTCATATATAACCTGTCACGTATTCTATTGGTCAGAAAGAAGTTACAGGTCCTGCCTACACAGTAGGGAGTGGGATTCATAGGAGGACATGACCACCAGGAGGCTGGGATAATGGAGCCACCCAGGAGTCTACCTATCCCAGGGCTAGTCTTTCACCCTATCTCTTCTCTGTCTGCACCCAATTTATGTATCTTGTGGATTTAAATACTGTCAATGAAGGGAGAGTGCTCAGTTTTGTACTTAAAAGCTTGACCACCATATTTAAATTCCACATTAATATAGTCAACACTTACTTTATATTGCTCCTCTTGGGTATGTCTTATGGACATCTCCAAATTTACATATCCATAGTCAATATAATTACTTTCCCTAATAACCTGCTTTTTTCACAGTTTCACTTAATGGCAGCTTTATCCTTTCAGTTGTCCAATCAAAAACCTTTGTGTCATCCTTGACTTTTCTATTCTTTCCTATCCAAAACCCAATTTATCGAACCTTTTAAAAAACTTTGCCATTTCTGGTTAGTATCCCTGTCTTCAAGTGGCATTAAATGTAATCTAAAATATGGGTCAGTTGGTGGCTACCTGGCAACCATTCTAGTCCTAATGACCCTATTAGCAATTTTTAGCAACTGGTCAGGGCCTACTCTCTGATCTTGCTATTGATCGAAACTACATGGCTTTCTTTACAATATACCAGATTGCTTCATGTCAGATGTTGCCTCTCACCAAACAAGGCTTCATATACCTTAATGAACCTTTCAGTACTTGTTTCACTCCAAAGATCAAGGAGTAACACAGGTAATGGTAGTCTAACATACTCTCTGTGGAGTTTTCTCCTCTGTGGCCTATCTTTTTTCATCCTATGTTCTTTGTTCCTTCCTTCTCCCCTACATCCTCAAAAACTGTTAAAATATGTTTCTGGATAGGTATGACGTCCCATCATTCATATACACTTAGGTCTAAACTAGTTAATAAATGTATTATTTTCTCCAAGTGAATTTTTACTTTATACCGTTACTCTTGTTATAAAATGATTTTTTCCCTATCAACAGGATTTGAGACAGTAATGTGCTTGTTAATTTGATTTCGCATACAAACATAGAAAGGTTCGTGACTGTTTCCTTGAACTCATGAGGGAGAGGTAGCTCTCTACTGTCTATACATATTAGGTGAACCATGGCCAGAACATTCTCTGTTTGAACTTGGGCACAGGTAGATGGTGGCAGCTGATAGAAAAAAAGGAGTGACCTCAACTATAATGTTTGAGAAAAGTTTATAAACTCATTCTCTACCACTATAGAAAGTTGTGTAGCTATCTTTTTTCTTTTCACATACTTTGTCATTCTTTCCTTTCTACTTTAAGTTATTTCTTAAAGTTTATTTAAGCAGGTATCATTTGTAATTTACCTGCATTTCTGGGTAACTTAGCCCATACTTGTCTTTTGCCTTTTTCTATTTTCTTGAATTTTTACAGTAATTTTCTAATTATATTTTTAGGATTCTGCATCTTGAACTTTTGGAGATCATCTGAGCTTCAGAATTTCTACCAGGTAATGAGAAAATATGAAAAAGGCCCATAGTGGCCAGATTATAAGTGTCAGCTTTAGATAACTTTGAGAATCCTTTTTCTTTTTTTTTTTTTTTTTGATGAAAGAAAAAAAACCCCTGAAATTCTGGTAGGATATTTTATAAAAAATGACATTGATGATAAAACAATTTTTTAAAGTTGTATGCAATTTTAAGTGCTTTACTTATTATTCAGAATTAGCCCAACCACAGAAAGAATAAGACAGATGCCGGCTAAACAGGTAGATGTTTTCCAAACAAGATACTTCCTATCAACAGAAAATGTTTTACTTGATAGGAAAAGGGAGTTGTGTTTTGCTGGCAACAGTTTTGGAGAGATGAGCTCTTGTTGCAGGTACTACATGCTTTTAAAAAACCCTTCATTTTGGCTAGCTGAAACCACCATGTGTTTTAAAATGTCATCCATCATTTCAGTGTTAAGATCGCCCCCTGGTGTGAATACAATCACACCATATGTTTATGAGAAATTATGTTTATGAGAAATTTAGACATTGTTTTTAAAACCTCATTTTTCTATTAGATAGTGACAAGCATCTTTTTTAATGCTAGTTTGATTTGGTCAGTATGATGTATAACTATCTATAAATATAAATTAATTTTTTTCTTTGCCCTTATCCATAGTTATATCTGTAGTCAGTGGTCAACTTGAAAGTAGAATTTGGGAATATCTAATTTGTAATCTTCTTTAGGTTAATAACCAATAATATATCACTTAGTAAATGTGAAATTACATACTGAAATAAAATTTTATAGGATAATCAAGTTCTGTGGTGGTAATAATTTTGTTAAGTGACAAATTGCTGTGCATGGTTTCCTTTTTTGGTAAACTCATGGGCACTTTAATAATTAAACATGAAAATTCAAATATTAAATTTTCTTTTTGAAATATTCATGGTGTGAAAAAATTCATCCAAGTTTTGAGATTTTTTTACAACGCAGCAGTTCCCCATAGCCTCGGAACTTGCAAATGTAAGCATAATTCATCCCCGAATCATAAATAGAGCTCTTATCTATCCCCTAAGTGACCCCACCCCCATAGATTCTCATTCAAAACTGGCAGCACAGTACCTACTTTATCACTGTCATTTTTCCTTGCATTTAATTTTTAGTCCTTTGGGAATCATTAAACCATCCTTACAAAGTGAAAGTATGCATAATATTTTAAACTGCATTTCTGTACATTTGGTTATTGCTATTATATTTTCCCTTACTGTCTATTCTCCAGACTGTATTATCTTTATCGTTTTAACTATTTATCATAGGGTTTATGTTCTAAACTTGATAATTTGAATGTTTATAATATTGAGCTGTTTGCAATACACTGCTTTTACTTTCATTTTCTTCTCCATACTCTCTCATTTAATTCTGAACCCTTAAGCTCAGCACAGTATTTGTATTAAATCTTGACTTATTGAAAGGATATCTTCTAAAATGTAGAAAATAAACACACCCACAAAATCATAGCAGTGAACCTACCAGAGTAGATCTGGGTTTGAATAGTAGTTCTTATTTTTACTAGCACCATGACCCTCTCAGAGATTCAATCTCTTCTGTAAAATGAAATGCAAATCCTATTTCACAGGATACTGTTAACTCATCCTTTGTATTAATATGTACTTAACACTTACTATATGCCAGATTTGGGGTTGAGTGCCTCATGAACATTTACTTTTCACAACATTTCTGTGACCTAGGTGCTAGTATTTCTACTTTATTGATAAGCCTTAGAGAGAGTAAGAAACCTGGTAAGTGCAAAAACCAAGGTTTTAATCATGGTCTTTCTGACTTAAAATGAACCCATCACCATTCTGCTATGCATTTGTTTTAATCACACTCATTTCTGCTACTTTGTTGATTTCATTGTTCTTAAGGTCAAATAATCTCCCAATGTGTAAACATAGAGGAAACAGAAATTTTGAAAAAGAGGAGGTGGATTCTTTAATAGGGGTGTTCTTTGTGTCCAGAAACCAGAGTGACTTTAGGGCATTTATTCTTCTACGCATTTTATTTTTTTTTCAAACCAGGCAGTGCATTAAAAGAGCCCTTGTTAATAGCATGGTTGAGCTGGTAACAGCAGTGACAAGGACTATTGGGTTAGTGAACCTTAAGGATCCTTTATGCATAATGTAAAGGCAGGATAATAAAATGCTAATTTTAAAAACTGTTGCATGCTTCTAACTCACCATTTCTGTTGATTTTTCTCTGGACCTGGGCCTATCCTCTGTTCCTGTGTGCCTTGCTATTCTATTTAAGTATCTAATTACTTGAATTGGCTCTGGGAAGCCTTCATCATTTTTCTTGTGGTTTAAGAATTTTTCCTGATATTTTACATATCAGATCTTACTCTTTTAATTGCTACAGAGGCCAATGTAATAAGTTCCTTATTTTGTTAATAATTTGTTTTGAAGTCTACTAAGTAACTCACCATGGAAACATGGCATGATCAGGCCTATACTTTGTTTAATAAAATCTGGTGTTTCATATTATTCCCTTGGTCTTTGAAATTTGCTCTAAGGAGTAGACTGTTCAACCATGATTTAAGAGCACATTGAATGGCATTTGGTTCCATGGCCTCATTTTCAGTGGCTGAATGACTATGTTTTTGTTGAGGTTCACTTCTGTTATACTTAGGTCAGATGTATAGGCACTAATATAGACAAGTGTATGTATTATTATCTCTTACTTGGGTAGTACGTTACTCCAAACACACACTATCCTTATGAAGGTTGGCTCAGTCATCATTGAATCAATGAATGAGTGAAAAAATGGAAGTCATTTTAGTTTTCTACCTTCATTTTAGCCCCACCTCTACACTTTTTTCCCATGCCCATACACACACACACACACACACACACACACACACACACATTTCTTGAATGTGCTCTTTAACTTAGACTTGTTTAATGTCCGTGGAATCAATTTGGGTTAGGCCCTCATAATATCACTTTGGGTTAGGGTTAGGCCCTCATATTTCTCACCTGAACAATTGGAATAGTCCTTTAATTATCTTCTCTCTCCAATGTTACCTATATCCAGTAAATTTTCCTAAAGCAAGTCTTAAATATATAGTTTTCCTAAAGCATTGACACTAATTCATTTAGTATCTTTTTCTCAAAACACTTTGGTTCTTGCTTACCTCTCTTCTAATTTGGCTCACTACCATTATCCTCACCCTTTGGATTCTGTACTTTGCACCACTGAAAAAATTATAAATCCCAGAATACTTTTTACTTTCTTTTCCTTCCCATGCCTTTATCAGTTAATGCTCTGTGCCACTAACACCCTTCTGCACTTCATTTGGGGAGCTCCATTTTCTCCTTCTAGGACAATTCTTTCCCAACTAACCTCCCACTCCACAAAGCACACACATAGGCTGAGTTTGTGCCTCTTCAGTGGACCAGTGCAAGACCCTATGTTCAGCTCTGTTATTGCAAAAGTTCAATTTAAAGTGGGCAGTTTGATGGCAAGTATTATATTACTCTATATATTACTCTATGTATTGCCAGATATATAAAAAATTCTTGGGAAAACTTTATGAAGCTCATGAAGAGGATGAATGGAATTAGAATTCCTGTGAAGCTCATCTCTCCATTAGGCTTTAAAGCTTATAGATCCAAATGCTTCATTCCTGTCAGCCATTACTGGGCAGGACAGTGCAGCAACCATTAGCTGACAGCATATGCCCTCTCATTTACATTGACTATCTTACATTTACATTTACATTGACTCTCCCAGAATTCATATACTCAGTACCCCTCTGTGACAGAGATTTATTGTGGTTCACTCAATATTCATTCTCCTCTCCTTATTTGAGAAGTCCAGATATTGTTGCAGGCAAAGAGAGAGAGGGAGAGAAAGATGGTAACAGAAAGAGAAAGAGAAAGAGAGAGAGAATGAGAATATATGATACAGGCCCCATATTTTCTCATCCTTCTTGTTGCTATGGGAGACAAAATCTGTCATAATTCTGTCCAGTGAAATATGAACAGAAATCTGATGGACTTTCTGGAGAGGTTTTGCTTTCTTGATACAGATATTGCCCTATCTTCCTTTTGGCCCTTTCTTTCTTCTTCATTCCTGAAATTTACACATGGTGACTAGAACTGGAGCAGCTACCTTTCAACATTAAAAGGTAGGATTATTACTGAGAGTTTAGCCATGACATCTTGAACTTCCAAATGGATACCAGTAATTTCCTTCCTTTGGACTTCTCATTACATGAGAAAAATTTACCATGTTGTGTTTAAACCATTGTTATTTGGGTTTTCTGTTGCATCAAGTGACTCAAAAACTAATTGTTACTAATTAGTATTACAGTTAAAACAAATGCATTAAGTTTCTGACCTCTCCAACTATATATTTGTTGACTCAACAGCCAGTAGGTCTAAATACCTCAGGGGTCCTCAAACTTTTTAAACAGGGGGCCAGTTCACTGTCCCTCAGACCATTGGAGGGCCGGACTATAGTTAAAAAAAAAAAACAAAACTATGAACAAATTCCTGCGCACACTGCACATTCCTTATTTTGAAGTAAAAAAAACAAATGTTTTCGGCGGGCCGCATGTGGCCCGCGGGCCGTAGTTTGAGGACCGCTGAAATACCTCCTATAGGTATTTAGAACTACTGTCACCATATACTATCCTAGATCCTAAGATATCAGGTCTGGAACACCATTCCTATGCAAATGGCTTACGGTCTCATGGGGGCACAGAAACATTAATTACAATATACAGTACAAGCAACATAGTAGTGCATGCAGATAAACATAAGGGTAAGCAAAAGAGAGTATTTGCAATTTGATCAAGCTTTCCTAAAATATTAATATTTTTGAAATCAGAGAAATGAATCTCATCTGGAATTTCAGGCACCCTGTGCCTTTTCAATGACACAGTGTAGGTGGTCACTTACTTTTGTGTGTCAGCCTTGCTGCCTCTTACTAATAATTAAAATGAACAGTCTAGGAGGCCAGAGATAAAATCCACACCTTGAACTGCTGAAAGGCTGTCTTTGAAAAGACAGATTGGTGAAAAGTAATCTGTGGAGAAGAGGGGCAAGAAACAACACAGCAAGTTGCCAAGGATTCTACTGACACACAGACTGAAGCAGAAAGCCAAGAGCTGTAACAAGGAAGGCAGACTGAAGCTCAGTGGTTGAAAGGCCAGGGTTAGTCGAGGGAGACATCAAAATACCAGCCTGAACAAACTCACAGTGAGAGAGGGATAGAGAACAAGCCACCTCAAGAGAGCTCAAAAAATAGGCTGCTCTGCTCCGGGACTCTCCACAATGTCTGTGAGGAAAGCCAGAAGCAGACCATAATACGGACACTATTTATAAAATCATAGAGACTCAAAGGATTTAAAATAAGAAAACGGTCTCAAAATAAAGCTTAAAATTTATAACCAGTTGATGTTTAAAAAGGCATTAAATGCTCAAAGAATCTGATTCAAAAAAAGGGTCCAGGGACATTGGCATTGATTTTAGTGATTGATCTTGTGATTATTTTGGGAACAGATTTTGAATTAAAAAAGAAAGAAAGAGGCTCCAGGAAAGGCAAAATCAATGTAGAATAAAATTTCTGGGACTGGGCCAAATGCCATTCAGAATTCTTAGGACTTGGGATAAGCTACAGAAGGAAATTTGAGCACATTACTATTTTTTCTAACTGTGACAGATGAATAAAAGGAAAGCTGTCAATGATTCAGGTTTTAATGACTGACCATCTCCAGTTTACCACACACTTGAAAGAGCTATAAATACCAAAAAGGCATGAAGACATGTTTGTGCAATCACAAAATATTCCATACTTTTACTCTATCCAGGATTAATGGATTAAGATATGTTTTGATTCATGACCAGTGGGGTCTGATAGAAAGTTGGAGATACTCTTCTATGGTACAAGTCAAATCTTCCTGATAAAACAGAGACCAACTAACATAGATAACAGGTGTTTTTTGCTTCTATGATCATAGTCCATCTATACTCTTCATCTAATGAGGGGTGCTAATCACAATTAAATTTTAGTGGTTTTCTGCAATTTTTTGCATTTTATATATTTTTCTGTCTGAGATAGATTACATATGCTATTATAATGTATAATAATAAAAAAGTATTATACATTATCTAAATTAATTTCAATGTAAGACATATAGGTAGTACATTCATGATTTTTTTACTTTGAAAATGCTACCTCTGAGGCTGCATAATTATCTTGCATGATGTCAAATGCCATAGAAGAGGGACCTAAATACAATTTAACTTTCCTTTGTAATTTGATGCTGATCTAGAATGCTTAACTCACCTAAATTTTTTTTGAAACTGTTTTGCTTGTAGTTTTTGGCTGCTTTGCTTCATCTGTGAAGCATAGTAATGTACTTTCAAAGAGGATATTACTTACCAGATTTACTTTCTAGGCATCTAGGATTTAGTAAATATCCATGTTCACCTTATCTGTGTATTCTTTATAATATTTCTACTTCAGTCTTTCAGAATGAAGAGTCTGACATTTTGTACCTTTCTTCACTTATAAATAATGAAATGCTTTATTAATGTTATTGTTCTTCTCCATACATTACGTTGTTCTTTGGTATTTCTGAAATGTGGCAACAGACAGCATGAGGCAGTATAAGAACACATAAAGCAGAATGTTACCAAAAAACCCTTATTGGATATTTAATTGTCATTACTTTTGTAAGAGTCCCCTCTCATCCTAATAATGAATTCTCTTTCCAAAATCATACATTCCTGACTTTTATAAAAAAGTGTATGCTTATAGTGAACTATTAATATTTGATGAATATAACTTGATGATTGCATTAGATTTCCAAAAGAGATCAAGGACATATAATAATCAAGAAACAGTTATGAATTTGCAAAGGAGTTTGATTTAAGTGGTGAGTTTTTTCCCCTTACTTTCTAATATCCTCATAAGTTACATAGGGAGAGATTTTTTTTTCTGCCAGTAGTTAGAATTTATAGAGAAACCATATGGTTTATTTTAGCCTATGTCAGTCTTCTAAATTCTCTTTTACATGCTGCCTCAAGACTAATAACTATGATAGCAATCAAGTTGTTTTCAATAACTTATATCTATATTTATATGTTTGGATTAGATCTCATTTTTATGTTGCACAGGCTCCCCAGGTGAGACCCATGAATACCAGTATATGAGAACATTAAAAATATTCATTAAAATTGTGCAGAGTGACAGTTGTTATGATGAGATGATTCATAGAAATGTGGTTAAGGTTCTGTGTTGACTTCATATTAAACATAATTGCAAAGTATGTGTTATGGGCTGAATGTTTGTTTCCCCAAATTTCATGTGTTGAAATCCTGACTTCAACCCAGGCTATGATATTTTGTTATAGTTGCCTGAGCAGATTAATTAATGCAGTATGAATTAGAAGCCAGGGACAATTTGAAAAATTTCAAAATTTTTTTCTAAGGTTGGTTACTAAATTCACATCTTCCTTCAAGTATCAATAAAGAATGACAACCAAATAACAAATAGTGGGCATTACTAAAAAGATGATCTATTAGGAAATAGAATGTTTGGAAAATGTAGTGCAGATATTTTTTATAATGAAAAAATATATTTTTTATAACTAAATTGCAGTGTGAAAAACTTGGTTAAATAGAATGCCTTTTGAACAGTTTTCTAGTTATTTGGATCTTTGATCAAAGTTGAGTTGAATTTCCTTTGTGACTCAATCATTGTTGAAAGTTTTCTTCAACTAATGCTTATTTTCTGTTGCTTAATATCAATCATTAATAAGTATTTTTTTGCATTTGGAAAAAATATATTTTATATATATTTTATTTATACTCTGAAGCAGATTTTTCATTCTATAGTACTGTAAAGGTATAAAAATTGAAAATGTGTATTTATTTATTTGTAATGGAGTTGTCTAATATTGTTTTTGCGTGTGTATCATTTGCCACTCTATATCACTAAAGGAAATCAGAAATTTCTAGATAACTAGAGTTTCCACTCATATTTTATTTTACAAAGACTATTTTAAATCTCATTTGCTAAAAGTATTTTTCAGTATTTCAATTTATAATGAAGAGATTAAAACTGCCATCATAATTGTTATTAGGCTGGAGACAGTATGTAAAAGATAATTTAGGAGATTGACATAGGCTAAAATAAACCATATGATTTTACATATATGTGGAATCTACTGCACAAAATAAACAAACAAAACAGACTCATAGATACAGAGAACAGACTGACCGTTGTCAGAGGGAAGGGATTTTGGGGGGCGTCGTGGAAAAGGTGACAGGATGAAGCAGTACAAGTAGGTAGTTGCAGAATAGCCAGAGATGCAGATTGCAGCATGGAGAATGTTGTCAATAACCTATAATAATAAAAGCATAATATGCTAATTAGACCGGACAGTTGAATGACCTTCCAGGTGTCATTCTAGACCAGTGATGGCAAACCTTTTGAGCTCGGCGTGTCAGCATTTTGAAAAACCCTAACTTAACTCTGGTGCCGTGTCACATACAGAAATTTTTTGATATTTGAAACCATAGTAAAACAAAGACTTATATTTTTGATATTTATTTTATATATTTAAATACCATTTAACAAAGAAAAATCAACCAAAAAAATGAGTTCGCATGTCACCTCTAACACGCGTGTCATAGGTTCACCATCACTGTTCTAGACTAAGCTGTGGGGACCAAGGCAGAGGCTGTTAGGGGCGATCAGACAGGCAAGCAGAGTGGTTAGGGGCAATCAGGCAGGCAGGGAGCCAGCGAGCAGTTAGGAGCCAGCAGTCCCGGATTGCGAGAGGGATGTCCGACTGCCTGTTTAGGCGGGATCGGGCCTAAACAGGCAGTCGAACATCTTCTGAGGGGTCCCATATTGCAAGAGGGTGCAGGCTAGGCTGAGGGAACCCTAACCCCCGTGCACAGATTTCATGCACCAGGCCTCTAGTGTAGAGATAACTGGGTATGGTGTCAGGTGGGTGCTTGGGTCAGCAGGGTAACCACTCTGTATAACATTTCATAATGTTCAACTGTAGAACATTTCATAATGTTCAACTGTAGAGTGCATGGTTCCTGGCCACTTTGCTGTACATCTGAAACTGGTGCAGAATTGTACTGAATGTAAACTGTGGTTGAG